CCGGCTTTTTTCTTTTTGCTTATGTGGTGCTGAGGAATCGAACCCAGGGCCTCAGGCATTCAAGGCAAGTGCTCTACCACTGAGCCATCTTTCCAGCCCATCCCTGAGACTCTTATCTCCAATAAACAACCTGAAAACCAGAAGTGACTCTGTGGCTCAAGTGGCAGAGCACTCGCCTTGAGCTGAAGAGTTGAGGGACAGCACCCAGGCCCAGAGTTCAAGCCCCACGATGACAAAAAAAAAAGGAAAGAAAGAAAGAAAAGAAAAGAAAGAATAGAAAGAAATAAAGAAAGAAAAAGATCTCCAGAGAAAATACAAATTGTCAATGCACAGATGAGAAAAAAAGCATCTACACAAAGCCCATAATTTTTCTGGGATGACCAAGTAACCTGTATGCTTCCTGCTAAGGCGGAAGGGGGCTTACTCACAATCTGACACCCAATAATTCTTTTTTTTTTTTTCTGCTTATGTGGTGCTGAGGAATCGAACCCAGGGCCTCATGCATGCAAGGCAAGCACTCTACCACTGAGCCACCTTTCCAGCCCTGACACCCAATAATTCTGCAGCCACTTTTCTAAGACCAATGAGGCAGGCACGGCTACATAAATGTGCCCAGACATGGACTTTCCTGGGGTGGGGTTCTAAGAGTCACAACGGAGTTATGTAGCTCTTTTGCCTAAACTTTAGCTAATTGGTCTAGGGACAACTAAAGTCTAGCTGAGATCATTGCATTCTCCTCTCGAGAATTTGGGGTTGAGGTTCATCACCTCAAGAAAGGAAACATTGGGCTGGGATGTAGCTCAGTGGCAAGGTGCTTGTCAAACAAGTATGATGTCCTGGGTTCGATCCCCAGTACTAAAAAAAGAAAAGACAAAGAAGAAAGAAAGAAAGAGAGAGAGAGGAGGGAGGGCACATGTTCTCATGCACTATGAACTAGTCATTTGCAAGGGGAAGGAGAACAGGCCAGACTGCTTAGAAAGAGCAAAACAAAGTCAGAGTGATGGGAAAACTGGAAACAAGCTGGCTCTGAAGAGTCATGGTGAGTGCAGATACCCAGGAGCCTAACAGTACCCAGCTCCTGGTTCCAGCTGTGTTCTTGCACTTGAGCTTCATGAGACTCTCTTGATCCCTTACCTTAAACTCCTTTCAGAGGGAAACCAAGATCCTGGGAGAGCCACAAAACAATGGATGGGGGCGGGGGGGGGGGGGGGGAGAGATGGAAGGGGTGGTCCTGACCACTCTGGCCTATTTGGGCTGGTTACCCAGCCCTTCAAACTGCCACCTCTACTTCCCTACTACACATTTTAGCAGTGGCTCAAGGTTAACTTCTAGAACTAGATTACACTCCATCAAGGCAGGTTTGGTAAACTTTATGAGCAGCTCTCTTCCTTTCCCTAAGTACCTGAGGTTTATCTTCTTCTTCTTCCTTTCGTGTCTGTGTCCTCTCATGTCGGTGTCGCCGGCGGTAATAGTGAGTGTCATCTGTCACATTTGAGAACATATGAATATTTCCTGGAAAAGAAAGAAATAAAACAAACACTTAGGAGATGTAGCAAACATTTCTGTTTTGTTTTGCCTTCGAGTTCCTTGTTCCCAACTAGGTTATCTGAAGATAAAATATTGGTCTATTTTACCCAGTAGAAAAATAAGAGAGTAGTTAAGTGAGCTACCTGAGAATGAAATGTGTATAGCTCTCTAGCCTTCATTTAATATTTTGTAGGGTTGGGTGTGGTAGACCATACCTATAATCCCAGCACTCTGGAGGCAGAAGCAGAATTAGAAGCAATTAGAAGAAGGATTTGGATCTTACCTAACTCATGTTTGCTTCAGTGCTCAATAAAAGGTTCTGTCACTGCTAATATGTGCCTAGTATGAGCTCCATCCTCAGCACCACAAAAACATTCTGGGCACTGAATTATCCCAACTTCTAACTCTCTACAAGGTGTGTGTGTATGTGTGTGTGTGTGTGTGCTGGTCCTGGGGCTTGAACTCAGGGCCTGAGCACTGTCCTACAGCCTTTTCACTCAAGGCTAATGCTTTACCATTTGAGCCACAGCTCTACTTCTAGCTTTTTGGTAGTCAGTTGGAAATAAGAGTCTAATGGACTTTGCTACCAGGCTGGCTTTGAACTATGATCCTCAAATGTCAGCCTCCCAAGTAGCTAGGATTACAAATGTGAGTCAGCTCTACTGGGTACTTTTTGATGTTTTTTTTTTTTGGGTCCAGTCGTGGGGCCTGAACTCTGGGCCTGGACGCTGTCCCTCAGCTCTTCAGCTCAAGGCTAGCGCTCTACCACTTGAGCCACAGCGCCACTTCTGGCTTTTTTCTTTTTGCTTATGTGGTG